AAACACAGGGACAGAGGGAGGGCAGTGGATCCACCCCGGGGGAGTAAACACAGGGACAGAGGGAGGACAGTGGATCCACCCCAGGGGAGTAAACAGAGGGACAGAGGGAGGACAGTGGATCCACCCCGAGGGAGTAAACAGGGACAGAGAGAGGACAGTGGATCCACCTGAATGAGTAAACACAGGGACAGAGAGAGGACAGTGGATCCACCTCGGGGGAGTAAACAAAGGGACAGAGAGAGGACAGTGGATCCACCCTGCGGGAGTAAACCCAGGGACAGAGGGAGGACAGTGGATCCACCCCAGGGGAGTAAACACAGGGACAGAGAAAGGACAGTGGCTCATGGGGGTTGATTAAACACAGAGGGAATATTTCAGGGACTTCTGAGGGTCCCAGGGCGCTGTGCTCCCAACTTGCTGAACCTGCTTGTTTTGTTTTACTGGTGAGACCAGTGCTCATCTCAGCTGTGCTTGCCATGGACCCCGTCTTGTTGGGCATCCCTGGGTGTTCTTCATTACAGATTAGGTATGCAGCGCCAGCAGAAGAGGAATGATTTGGCTTTGCTGTTTACCTTCTGCTGTCTGGTTCTCTCTGCCTGGACGGTAGACAGGAGGGCCAGCTGTTTTGCAGCCACGTTGTAGTCCTGAGGCAGCCTGTGTAAGGAGGCAGCGCAGTGTGGGTTCCTCTGTGCCTTGCTGGCTACACAGTTGCTGTTGTCAGGAGATATTTCTCTGTTTTCAGTCTGGTCATCAGGTTTCCCATTGTCTTCAAGAGACAACCCTGACATACCCATATTAGCCAGCTTTTCTGAAAATTTCTGAGAATAGAGTTTGGTCACTCTGGGAGGTGTCTTTCCCCATCCCACTTTCTTGATTTGTTTACTGCACAAGCAGGATCTGGTGGTTGGGCTGTGGGCAGAGGAACCCAGCTGGAGGTCTCTGGATGGCGGGTACAGACCGGAGGCCAGGAGCCACTTGTGTTCTTTGGTAGTTGGTGGGTCAGTAGGGCAGGTAGGAGGAGCCAGGACATCTGAGGTCCTCATTGTGACGCCATGTGGGGTTGTGCTGGTTCTGGGGGAACTGCCATCCTCACAGACCTCAGTCAGCCACCCTGTTCCCCACGTCCTATCTTTTAGGGCCTTCTGTGCATCCCAGAGAGGACCAGGCGCCCTGTGCTGCTCGTGTGTTGCAGACCCCAGTCCCCTGATGCGGCATTGTTTCTTGGCAGCAGTTGGGAGGGTTGGAAAGGGGGTTGGACCTCACCGGTCCTGGAAACCCTGAGGGACCTAAAGCCACTAGGCCTGGTGCCTAGTCTTCATATCTCACAATGTGGAGAATAAATAGGCTAAGAATTTTAGTTCCGAGACCTGTGGATAGCACATGGGTCTTGGTTCTGGTGGCTGTGTCTCCAGCCCGTGCTTTAGCTTGGTGATCCTGCCTCACTCTGTGTGGACAGCCCCAGGCGGGAGGGACGTGGAAGACCCCACGGGCTCTGCATGAGTCCTAGGTTCGTCCTTATCCCAGGCAGGCTTTGCTCTATAGAGCTGGGCTCAGAGGGGGCTGCTGAGGGGTAGCCAGAGCCAGCTCCTGAGCTGGCCCCATTCATGTGGACTCCAGCAGGTTATGGGTGGGAAGTATTTAGAGGCCTTCAGTGGAGACAAATTCAGGCTCATGGTCATGGGGAAGGAGGTCAAGTGCACTGTCCCATTCAGTATGTGCAAAATCAGCAGAGAGTCTGGGGTGCAGAGCAAGAGGCAAGCTGGCGTCCGGCTGAGGCCACACTGCTGGCCTGTGCTGAGCATCCCAGGGCCTGGCCCTGCACACACCAGGCTGGTCCTGCCGTGTGGACGGCAGAGGCCACCCTGAGTGTAGGGTAGGTATCTCTATGGGGCCACTGGGTCCCCATGAGGCAGGAGCAGTATGTGCAGGCATCGGCGGCACCTGAGGTGGTGGGACTGTGGCAGGCCAGAGGATCGCCAGTATGTTTACGCGTGGCCCCGAGCACTCTGTGGCTGGCGTGGCAGATCCGGCCCTGGGGCCTCAGGTGTGACCTAGCCCCTGGTGGGCGGCCTTCTCTTTGAGGTGTCTGTGTGCTGAAGCGCATCCCGAGTACAGCCTCTGGGGCAAGGGACAAGCTCTGTGGGTCTTCAGCAGCCTGTGGCACCTTCTGCCACTTTCCCTTCATGGGCCCAGAGTCTGCAGTGAGGCAGGTGCAGGCTATTGTGTGGGGAGAGCATTCTGCTGGCTCCCGAGTCCCGGCTGCTTGTGTATCAGGGAGCAGCCCAGGGGCCCTGCCAACCCTGGGAGCCATCTGGCCTAAGCCCAACCCTGGTGGACAGGCTGGCCCTCCAGAAGAATGTTGACACCTATAAGGAGGCCTGGCCCTGTGGGCAGTGCACTGTCTGGCTCTATAAGCGAGCCTTGCCCCAGCACGCTCCCTAGGGACCCCTGTGAGCTCAGGCACAGCTGTCCACCCAACACTGCCCATGTGACCCCCAACACTGCAGTGTGGGAAGGCCAAGGTGCCTGTGTCCACTTGCTCAGCTGTCCCAGGATGGCTCTCGGGAGGTAGACATGCTATAACCCGGCTGGCCCACAGCACGTGTGCCTGGCCTTGAGCTCCTCCCTGTCCCTGAGGCCAGCAAATGCAGCCCTGCCGGGCCCCATGTTGACTCAGCAGAGGCAGCAGGTGTCTGTCCTTCTATATAAGCAGTTCTCAATTTGTGGGTTGCCACCCCTTTGTAACAATGAAAATATATCACGGTGTTAAGAAGGTTGAGAACCACTGTTCTATACCTTTCTGTGCGGGTTTACACCAGCTTGTGTCCATGTGACTGAGATCAGCCCTGCCCACCTTCTGTGTCAGGCCCCTCAGTTCTGGTGTCCGACCCTCCCTCTGTCTTCCAGGACCTTGTGAAGGTCGGTGCCATTTCCAGAGTTTTTCCTCTGAAACGTTTGTAATCACAGGCCCAACTTCTCAATGATTAGGGGACTTTCTCTTAGGCCAGGTTTGGTCGGGAGTATTGACTGTTAGATCGGATTTTCAAAAGTATCGGCAAGCTAATGTCACCCAGACAGACATGTCAGCGCTCATCGCATGGCTCCCTGATGTCTGCAGGGTCTCTTCAGCTGTGGCGCTGGCTATGGGGCCTGTGTGGGAGTGTGACTAATTTTGCAGGCCTCTCTGCACCGTCCTCCATTCCACTGCCCTCTGTTCTTCAGAATCTCCATGTGGTACTTGGGTGCAGCCTGCTGCCCTATGCTGGGTGGTAGCTCTTTCTCTGAGTCCTCTACCCCGGGCAGGGTGTACGGGCAGGCTGTAGGGTCCTGTTGGGCATGGTGAAGCCTACCCCACGGCTCCTGCCCTACTGGCCGTGGCCGTGATCAGGACTGTGCTGCCTCCTCTGCTCTGCCTGGGGGTCTCAGTGAACCCATGGCCCACTCTCTGAGTCCCCACTCTCCCGCCAGGTGGAGGAAGAGCAGCCAGCCCCTGAACCTGGCCAGTGCCACCTGTTCCCTGGTTCAGAGCCAGATGCCCTGTCCCCACACTGCCTCCCACCAGCCTCCCAGGTCAGTCTGCTTGGCTGGCCTGCTTTGCTCTCTGCCAGAAGTCTCCTGGCTTGTCCATGGGCCCATGTGTCCCCTTTGCTATCACCTTCGTGATGTGCTAGAAGTGAACAGAGAGAACCTGGACCCAGCAATGCCTTTCACCTGCCTTTGCCTCTCAGCTGGGCCTGCTGCCTTAGGCAGCGGTTGTGCCTCCCGCGCACACATGCACACGGGGCATGTACACGACTGTGCTGCACCCTTGCTGAAGGGTGCACCTGAGTGTTAACAGGTGCTGTGTTTACTGGTGAGGCTACGACTGACTTATTTGATTTTTAGAGGCTTTCAGGATGCCCAGCATTCAATGTGTATTGTCTTTTCATAATTGGAAAAGATTACCCCTAGATTATTCAGTAAGATTCTGAGAAATTCTGAATCTTCTCTGAGGAGTCTATAGAAATGGGAAAATGGGAGACACAGGAAATAAAAGCAATTGGAAGTGTAGAGGTGAGTCGATCCCCATGTGGGTGGTAGGTATAGAGGTGAGCTGATCCCTGAGGTGGGTGGTATGTGGGCCCTCCCTCCCTGACGACCCCTGGGGTGCCTGGGCAGGGCCCATGTTGAGACGGCCCACACAGCCTGTGCCTGACGTGTCCTCTCCCTGCAGGTGGTGCACACACACAAGCCGCACTTCGTGGCCTTGCACTGCCAGGAGTTTGGCGGGAAGAACTACGAGGCCTCCATGTCCCATGTGGACAAGTTTGTCAAGTAAGTCCTGACGGAGGGGATCGGTTCCAGGAGGGTCCCCACTTCACCACACTGGACTCCCCGAGGAGGTGTGGCCTAGACAGCTTGCAGCATGTGGCTGTGGCCCTGGGGTGGGATGCAAAGCCACAGAGTGACAGCCGTTGGCCATCAGAAGGGGTGGGGTCTGTGCTGTCAGGCTGTGGGAGGGGAGCCCAGGTGCTGGCGGAGCCGTTCCTGTCTGTCAGCATGTGCCTGAGGTCATAGGTAGGGTCTGGGGTAGCCAGACTGCTGGTATGGATAGCAGGGAGGTCAGCTTGGGGCTTAAATTGTCCGTGGGGGGAAAAGGAGTTATGTGCACTGTCCTAGCATGTGCCCTGCGCTCCTCAGTGGGTGGGTGTGGCCAGGTCCTGCCTAGAGGTGGGAGTGGACATTGGGTATGGCATGCTGGCACTTTACCCTAGTGCCGGTCCCACTATGTGGAACTGTAGCACAAAGGTCCTTCCTCCCCGAATCCTGCCTTTGGCCCCAGGAGCCCCCTCAATCCCAGGCACTGTCCTGCCCCTTCCCGGGGTTGTGCTTTTGGAAGCTTCCTGGTCTTAACAAAGGTCCCTCAGCAGGGACTGTGCAGACCTGACCTTGCTTGTCTCAGGTGTCCTGAGATCCCTGTGGTGGGGCAGAGGCGGGTTGCACTGGACCTTGGTCATCTTGTGTAAAGTCCTGGCATGGTAAGCAGGCGTCCTGGGCCCTGGGGCTCCACACCTGTGCTGCCAGGAGGCACACACCTGGAGGGGAGGAGGCTGTGGCTGCCTCTGAACTTCGCGCTCAGAGTCACGTGTCTTTACACAGAAGAGCTACTGAAGACGGGTCAGCCCGCTGCACATCCTTGTCACAACCTGGCCAAGCTTGCGCCCTCTCATTGCAGCTCCTTCCTTGCAAGTTGAAATAAAGCAGCACACCGTCACGTTGTGTGCAGCGCCCTTGGCCTTGTGGAGTGTCGCTGTAGTGGGTGTGTGTTTTCCATGGTCATATTTTGGGTAAATGGAACATGGGGACAACCTTTTATAGAGGGTAAGGGTTCTGGCCCCTGAGACTTCAAAAACCTCCTTGCTGATAAGAATAGAAACTCAAGGGTTATAAGAGATATGAGCCATTTCAATAAAGTTTATGGAAAATGTGTGTTATGAAGAAATTATGCATGGATTGCAAAATTCTTTTGCACTAAAATAAACTCCTGCTAACTTGTTATATAACCTGTCTGAATGGAGTCTGGTTCGAGGCACTAAGGATGAGGCATCATTTTGAAAAGAACCCCCATTAGAGCAACATGAATTCTGCTAAAATTGACAAAGAGCAAACATCAGATTTCTGGTGAAGCTTGGGTGGAAGAATGGTGAGATCCCTGATGCTTCATGAGAAGCTTGTGGGGATGGTACTCCAAGCAAGTCAGCAGACAAATGGATAAAGGTGAGGCCCACAGTGAGGGAAGAAATTCATCCTGCTTGTGCCCCGTTGGAAGAGTGTTGAACTCAGTCAGCAGGAGCCACAGCGACACCACAGACATCTCAGCTGGCTCACTCACACGCTTCTGACTGGAAAGTCAATGTAAACAAACGTCCCCTTGATGCTTGTCAAACCGTCGCTCCAGGTCAGCTGAAGACAAGAGCAGACCTTCCCATGCAGATTCTGCACACGCGAGACCAAGATCTTGGAGTGAGTCTTCAAAGAACTATAACAGGAGATGGGTTTCCCCACATGACCCTGGAGACAGCACAGTCACAACTGTGGCCACTGAGAGGTGGACGTGACCAGGCAGAGCCCAAGTGCACCTGTCAAGAGCAAAGGTCTTGGGGACAATTTGGGGACACTCAAGGGGTTCTGTGGGTTGACTGTCTAGAGGGCCAGTAACTCTGCTCATTGGGACGGTGTTTAGAGAAAGTGCCGGAGCCTTAGTGGAGAGACTGGGGAACTTCCCCAGAGGGTCCCCCACTGTGACCCTGCCCAGCTCACTCCCCTCGGCTCCCAGGGTTCAGGGAGGATCCTCAGGCTTCCTCTGCACAGTTCTGAGTCGGCTTCTTCTGTCTTCTTTCTGTTTCCCAATGTTAAAATTCTTAAAAGGGCTCCCTTTTTCTTCAGTTAATAATATAAAAAGACTGCCCTGGCAGGATTAAATTCCCACGGCCCACAGTTCCTCAGGGGTGGGCTGAGGGCTGGTATCACTTATAGGACCCTTGAACTTGGTGGAGCTTATATTGAGATATAAAGGTTGTATTTTTGATTTTTATACTTTCATACCACTTTCCACAAACTTTCTGAAGTCCTGTCATAAATACAGCAGATGTTATTATTTCATTGTTATTCTATAAAAATATATTAATGAAAAATAAATAATATATAAGACTTTTTTGGTAAGTCCCGTAGTCTGTGTTGGAGACCGTGGTGGAGGGTGGTGTTCTCCCAGGACCCATGGCAGCAGGGCCCACCCCTGTGTCCCCACACTGTGTCTGTGGACCTTGCCTTGTGTGGGTGGGTATCTTGTCCCCCGCTCTGGAGTCTGGTACCCATGACTGCTGGACCAACAGAGTGAGGCAGAAGTGACACTCTGTGACTTGTGCGGCTGTCCACAGAGGTCTTATGCTTTGAGAAAGCACCTCCTTGTGCAATGGCCGCACGCATGGGTATCTGCATCTGTGGCTGACGTCACTAGGCCCTCTCAGCCTGGGCAGAGCTTTGGGACAGGAAAAGGATTCCTCTAAACAGTGCTGCCTACAAAAGATCAGATTTGTGAGCCTGAACATGCTGAAATAAAACACAAAGTAACAGGGCAGCACCCTGGGGAAAGCTCTGCTGCGCTCACCATCGTGTCTGTGTTTACCGATAGAAATTCCCATTTAAACATATAATGAGCTCTTGTAAGTCAGTAAGAAAAGAAGAAGGTGGCCCCAGGCCTGCAGGCGCCTTCCCCGCACACCTGAGCTCCCGGGGGTGGGCGGCCTCACTGCCTCCTGCAGCCCTGGCCCTGCAGCCCAGCACCCGCCCAGCATGCCCACATTTGCTGCCACCTGAGGTCTGCTCAGCACACATTATTGCTGTCAGTATTTTTACTTCAGACGGTAATATTTTAAAAATACCGAGAAGAAAATGTCACTTATTCTCACTTCTCCATCTACCATTTTCGGGGCCCTTCGCTCGGTGTGAATCTAGTTTTTATTTGTCAGCATTTCCCTTCAGCCTGAACAACCTTTTTGAACATTTATTTTAGCACAAGTCAGCTGCTGATGAATTTTCTCAGCTTTTGTTTGTCTAAAAAAAGGTCTTTGTATTCATTTCTGAGAGATATTTTTTGTTAGGAATAGAATTCTAGCTTGTCCCTATTTTGTCTCTCGCCACTTTAAGGCTGTCGTCCCATTGTCCTCTGTATGGCATTGTGTCTGGGGAGAATCCAGCCACTGTGCTCTTCTTCATTTTCTTGTATATAATGTCCCTTTTTTCCCCCGACTGCTAGATTTTGTCTTTATAGCTTTCCAGCGACTTGATTATGTTGGGCCTTGGTTTACTTTTATTGATGTTTATCCTGTTTGGAGTTCTTTTAGCTTTTTAAATCTCTGGGGTTATAGTTTCAATCACATTTTGAAGATAGTTCATCTATTAATTCTTTAAGTATTGTATTTCTTTTCCTTTCTTTCTCTTTTAATCTCAGACTCTGGTTTCCTGATGTTAAACTGCTTGGTCCCAACACGCAGGCTGTGCCCAGTTTCAGTTTGGGCAGAGTCTGGCTGCTCCTTAAGTCACATGCTGTATGTACGTGTATATGTTTGTTTTAAGTGTGTTTAAGTGTGAATCTGTTTTTTCCGGACTGACGGTCTTTGCAGCCGGGTGTCACCTGTGCTTTTGTGTCTTCTGTCCTCGGTGTCTCATGCTCACCTCTGAGCCTTGGGCATACCTGTAGCAGCTGTTGAAGGTTCCTGTGGCTGATTCCTTCACGTCTGTGCTTCCTCTTCTGCTTGTCGTGTGACTTTGGGTCAACCTGTGCTTCTCTGTGTTCCAGGCGGTCTCTGGCGTGGCATGGGTGTACCTGCCATGGGCGTACCTGCCCTGGGCGTACCTGCCCTGGGCGTACCTGCCATGGGTGTACCTGCCATGGGTGTACCTGCCATGGGCGTACCTGCCATGGGCGTACCTGCCATGGGTGTACCTGCCATGGGTGTACCGTCACGCCATTTCCGCTGGAGCCTCACCTTTTCTTACAGCATCCCGGTCGCGTGTGTCGGGGCCTCTCCCCTTGCCTTGTCTTACCTGGTCTGGAGCCTCCTTCCTGACAGATGGACTGACCAGGTCACTGTGTGCTGTGTCCTCTCTTCTCTCAGTCTCAGAGCAGAATAAGCCTAGGGGTGGTCACTGTCGGGGCAGGTCTGGGTAGAGGGACTGGCCAGAGGCTGGGGGCCCCTAGGGGTACGGCCGCTCCTTGTGTACCTACTCTGCAGAGGTGGGCGAGTGTCCTCTGAGGACATGCCCAGAAATGAGAGTGGTAAGGGAGAAACCCGCCGGTGATGCTTGTCAGGGGTCCTTCCCTTCCTGTGTGGGTCTAAGGCTTGGCTCTCACTCACGGGCCTCACGTTGCCCTCCGTGAGTGCCCAGGAGCTGCAGGACAAGGTTGTGGGTCAGATCCCAACACCTCTGCGATGCTGTGGGGTCTGCTTCTGTTAGGTCCAAATGTGAGCGGCCGGGGGGCCCCAGGCTATGGGGCAGCTCTCAGGCCTTCATTCCTGGGAGGCCTCCGAGTACTGGCATTGGAGACCAGAGGGACCCAGAGCCTGTGGAGGGCGCTGCTGTTCTGTGCCCTGAACGCGTAGTAGCCTTCGGTTTCTGCAGTGGCTACTGCTGTTCCTCCATCCTTTGCTCCGTGGTGGGGTGTTGTATGGGTACCGTGACCTGCTGTGTCCCGAGCACACCTGTAAAGTACCAGCCGTGTGGCTTTTGCTTAAGGAGCTTGCTCTTTCCTTTCAGAGAACTCCTGTCCAGTGATGCAATGAAAGAGTACAACAGGGCTCGTGTGTACCTGGACGAGAACTACAGGTCCCAGGAGCACTTCACGGTGAGTCCCTCCCACCTGAGCCCATCAGGCCCCTGACCAGGGTGGGCGTGGGGTGCTGCCTTCTCTCAGACCAGGATTCAGACCAGACCAGGCGTATCCTTGCTGGCCTGGCAGGGCTGCATTCTCAGGCTGGCCCAGTGGGCACTGCACCTCCTCCTTGGTGTAGATGGTGTGGGGAGGCGTGGCAGGAGAGGGAGGGCCAGGGCTCCTGGCATGGAGGAAGAGACACTCAACCCACCCGGTCTGCCCTGAGAGCCACCTGCCGCCACTGCTGTGTGGGTACCAGGCCGGGCCGTTGAGGAGAAGGGCCATCCTGGGGTGAGCCTAGTGAGTGGCGTGGACCCTTCACAGACTGGTCCCTCTCTCATAGGTCTTTGGTCTGATGGGCATCAGAGGGTGGCCCCAGGGAGGTGACAGCCCCAGAGGCAGAGGATGCAGTTGCCTAGAAAGGGACCTAGAGGCTTGGAGAAACAGCTGGGGTGGGGGGGGCTTAGGAGGTTTGAATAATTAGTGTTGGTTCAGACACTCATGTCTTGAGACCTTGTCTAGACTGAAGCCCCTAGGTCCCTTGGCCTGGTCAGTGTCCCTGTCTGGACTGAAGCTCCTGGGTCCCCTGGCCTGGTCAGAGTTCCCATCTGGAGTGCAGCCCCTGGGTCCCCTGGCCTGGTCAGAGTCCCCATCTGTAGTGAAGTCCCTAGGTCCCCTGGCCTGGTCAGTGTCCCTGTCTGGACTGAAGCCCCTAGTGCAGTCCCTGAGTCCCCTGGTCTGGTCATTGTCTCAGTCTGGAGTGCAGCCCCTTGGTCCTCTGGCCTGGTCAGTGTCCTTGTGTGGAGTGCAGCCCCTGGGTCCTCTGGCCTGGTCAGTGTCCTTATGTGGAGTGCAGCTCCTGGGTCCCCTGGCCTGGTCAGTGTCCCCGTCTGGAGTACAACCCCTGGGTCCTCTGGCCTGGCCTGGTCAGTGTCCTTGTGTGGAGTGCAGCTCCTGGGTCCCCTGGCCTGGTCAGTGTCCCCATCTGGAGTGCAGCCCCTGGCCTGGTCAGTGTCCTTATGTGGAGTGCAGCTCAGTTTGCCAACTGTGTGGAGAGATGTGACCCCCTCCCCCGAGGGATATGACCTTGAGGTGGTGCTGGGGTGAGGCCCCCACCAGTCGGGTTTCCAGTCTTTGAACTCGGAGCTTCTAGTGTACGTGAATGACACCCTCACCCTGGGACCTGGGCGTGCACCACTCTCTGTGGCCCCTCCATGCCTCTGGGCCTCCCTGAGGTGGCCTGGCCTCTCTGTGGGGTGCACTGAGGGTCCTTGCACACCTTTGGAAGGCCTCGTCCCTTGGGCAGACATGCCCCCTCAGCATCCTTTTGCTGCTTCCGTCCAGTGCTGTGTCCTCCAGCTCCGCCGTTTCCGCTCCCATGTCATCCTTCATCCTGCTGGGTCTCCCCTGGCTGTGAGTGGTTCACAGATGAACTGCAAGAGACGCCATGGAATCTGGGCTATGACATAGACCTGAACATCTGTAGGAGATTAAAATCATACAAGATGTGTCTTCTCATGAAAAGTAATTAAATTAGAAATAAATAAAAAGGGTACATGGACAATTCTCAAATATTTGAAATTAAACTAACTTATAAATAACCCCACGAGTCAAGAAGTATGGACAAGGGAAATTAGAAAATACATTACATGAAAACAAATTAAAACCCTTAAGCATTTGGGAGACGCCAGGATAGGCTGCCGGCTGCAGGCAGAATGTCCAGTGACGTTGGCAGTGGAAGCACATGTCTCAGTTCACAGAGGCCCCACCTGCCCATCCATGGGAAGCTTGTGTATACTCGTCCCTCGAAGCACACAAGGTTGATATGGGTCCCTTTCAACACTCATGTCAGTCTCTGGGTGAAGAGCACAGGGCAGCAGAACACCTGGCTTGGAAGCCGCCATCCCAGGCTGAGTGTCTGCAGTGTCTGTGGCTGCCCACATGCTGGGCACTTTTGGGGGAACTGGCCCTGATAGCACTGTGTCCTAGACCTTGCTCATGTGGGAAGGTGGGGTGTGGTGAGAACTCTTGCCTCTTCTGCAGTCATGGTCCTATGCAAGGTGCTGGCCCTGGGGTGAGTGTGCGTGGCAGGTGGCAGTGGTCAGGGAGGCTCCCGATCACGTCGAGCTTTCCAGAGCTGGCAGAGAGAATGCCCAACAATTGCCTGTCCCCTTCGTGCCACTGGCTGCTGCAGCATCAGGTCTTTTCTGGTTCCTGGGGTCCTGGGTAGCTGCTGCCTGCCAGGTAGCCACCTCATGCCTCAGCCTGGTGCCCTCTGGCTGTCAGGAGAGAAATGCAATTCCTGTAAGATTGATGGTGTTGGAGTGATATTTTTAGCTGAGTCTGGTTCAAATAATAGGCCATTAATTGAAAAAGGAAATTGAAATGAATTTATCTTGTACATAAATGCTGTCACGGGTATTAATAGGGACCAGAAAATAGTGGCCTATTCCCAGAACGCAGTTGGACCTGGAGCTGCGCCTGACGCAGGGGCCTGCAGTGGGATCACAGTTCTGTCAGTGGGGACTGGCCAGAGGAGCTCCTGCCACGTGCTACCAGGAGGTGGCGCCATCGCAGCGTCGTGCTGCCTGCGTGGTCCCTGTGGGAGACGCTGGGGCAGCTTTTGTACTTGGTAGAGCAATGATGACATCATTGTGGCTTGTGAGGCCCACAGCAGCCGTGGCGGAGGGGAAGCTAGGAGCTCATCTGGTGCACAGAGGCGAGAAGGAGAGCTGGTCTCCTGTCCAGCTGCTCCCTGTTCGACATCCCCAGGCCTTAGGTCCAGGCTGGGCATTGCCTGACCCTGCACTCTGTCGCAGCATGGGCCTGTGTGCTCAGGCATGAGGGCTCGGGCTGCCCACCCTGTCACAGAACTTGCTGAATTGTTGGTTACCACATGGATTGAGGGCCCCCGCAGGGCACGCACAGTCCAGTATGAGCTGGACAGGTGGTGGGAGCGAGCACACGTCCGCCGGTGATGCCTGTGAGGTCCCCAGCGTTTGTTGTCCACACTGTCTCCCTCCCTCTAGAGAGGCTGCAGCTGTGACGACCAGCATGGGTCCTGCTGCCAGGCACATGTTCTGGTCTTCCTGTGGCTGTCTGCAGGCCATGGAGGAGGCTGGGAGGAGGAGTAGCATTGGTGGTGGGAGTAGCTTGGGGTGGCTGGAATGTGGCCACCTACAGCTCTCCTGGGCAGCAGGTGGCTGGAGGACAGGCTGGGCCATGGTGTAGGGGGTGTTGAAACTGGATTAGGTGGCACTGCCTAGCCTGGCAGGCCCAAGTTTGGGGCCTGGCACTTGGGATGGAAAGACCCAGAAGGACCATCCAGGGTATAGGCAGAAGGTGGGAGGGAGTGTGGAGCACAGTGGCGTGGGGTCATGTGGCAGTGAAGACCCAGGCCCCCTGCCTGGGCTGACCTCCCATGGCCTTCTGTGTCTCCCAGGGGCTTGGGGAAGAGCTGGGGGTGTGGGGCTGCATGGAGGAGGCACTTAGATCTGACCGTGCACAACACTGTTGTCAGCAGGCTACTTCCTCAGCAGGGACCCTGAGAGGAGAGTGCATCCTGCTGTCTGTGGCTAGGCTTGCCTGGAAGGCAGACTGTTGTGCTGTAACTCCCCAGTCGCCTTTTTGTATTTGCCCCAAAGGAGCATCATGTTCCCATTTTTATCATTAGCAAGTTTTCAGAATAGTTCTGTTCCCATCACTCTGTAAATTAAACTCAATGGTAGATTCCTTTGGAGAGGGGTAAGCCTGAGTGGTGCTGTGTCTGTGCCAGTGGGAAACCCTAGAAAGAAGAGACCCTCAGGGCAGGGTGAGCGCTCCTGGGCCCCGAAAGGCCCCTGGCGCACTGCCTTCCCTGCCTCAGCTCCTGGGAGGTCCCCCTGGGCCTGCTCTCTGCTTTACCCCGAGTGTCCCTTCCAGTATCACATGCTGGAGGCATCAGGTGACGATCCCAGGGACTAGATGGGTGGTGCTGGGGGCCACAGAACGTGCAGGTGATGAAACCAGCAGGGGCCACTCTGTGCCCTGGATGACTGCTTAGCACCATAGGTTCTTGCCCTGGGAGGACAGCTAGAGCACAGAGGGCAACTCAGCAGCATCGACTGCCCTCCATGGTCCTTCCTATGGGCAGGGTCATGGCAGGCCACCCTCCTTGTCCTGCATCCCCTTCCCACACTTGTGCCTCCTCCTGCCCCAGGGCCTTTGCATGACCCCTTGCTGCCTGGGTACTCCTCCTTCCCCTCCTGGGAGAGCCCTGCCAGCTGCCCTCACCTTCCCTGGAGCTGCCCAGTGTGTGTCCTCCATGGACATGGGCACTGCGGCACTCTACACCCGGTGACCCTGAGGGCAGAACTCTCCTGTAGTGGCCTCTGGAACAGTATCAGGTGGGGACAGCGGTCTTGTCTGTACGTCATTCCAGTTAGTGACTGATTATACACACCATCCATATGTGTAATGGGCTTATAACTTGAAGCTGTGCCTTTATCAGGAAAGCCATTTCTGAGGAAGTAGTTAGAGAATCCCTCAGTTACAAGATGTGGTGGGGGGCAAATCTCCCCCGGCGATGCCAGGTCTGTGGTACGGGAGTGGGGTGGCCTCCCAGCCAGCAGCTCTGGGGTCATGTGCAGGCTCAGGGAAGGGGAGGGTCCCTGGGCAGCCCCCACTGGAACCTGCCTAGAAGATGCATGGCACCTGAGCTTCAGCAGGCAGGGGGGGGGGGGCAGACACCCTCCTCCTGAAGTGTCCCCATCAGAGGCCACGTCCCACTGCAGCCTTGTTGAGGGAGTGTTCTGGTGTTCTGAAGTAACCTGGTGCCCCACCCACGCAGGCCATGGCACTAAAGAAGCCTTGACAACATTTTTCAAGGCTGCCAAGTGTCAACCAGGAGCTCCAGCTGAACAGAAACTGGATGTCTGATTTAACATGTTTCTTCCTGCCTGGAAAGCCTGAATGTCATCGGAGGATGTAAAGGT